AATTTATATCCTTTTTTTAATACCTTGGAGAATATAATGTATCTCAATGCATTTTCTTCTTCTAACATTCTCTTGTTCTTTTAAGAGCAAAGTTTGTTTACTATTGCTCTTCCAGAGGCAATGATGAATTCATTATATTGCTCTTCAGGAGCATTTATTTGTTTTCACTCTCCAGAGTAATTATACTCTACGGAAGTTTTCATCTATCTTTACAAAATAATTCAATGACATATGCTCTACTGGAGCATTTAATTGTTTCGTGTTTATCATTGACTAGCATCAGCTTCTGGGCGATTAATAAAAACTACAATACCCTGAGAAATAATGTGAGTTGCACTGTGTGCCAGGCATACTTTTGCCATTAACAAATTTAGATATTATTTTCTTCGAAACTTGTAGATAGAAATGTCAATTAAATAGTATCATTACTATGGTGGCCAAAAGACCACAACACCTTCAGGGTGTTTGACATATTGGATATTTTTATCTCTAAATTTTAAATCATCTTCAGGATGTTTGACAAAAATCGAATTATGATTTATTAATTCATTGTCGATAGGACAAATGAATTCGTCTACTTTCAATAATATATTGAAGATATCAATAAGATAATTGTGGGTATATAGAACATGTGAACCCAATGATTTTCAATGCCACAACGATAGCATTTGCAATATATTACTTTTCAACTTCAGATCAATAGTAGTATTTTCACTATTTTTCCAACTTAAAGTGTTTAATAGTGTATTTGTTAGAATAACCACTATCATTGTTCATAATCGTCACATTTACTTCAGAAAATGGACCATGTCTGAATTGAACATGTCTTCAAATTAAGTGTCAAACTTCAAGTGAAGAATTGTATATTATATATAATTAATGTAGATCTAATGTCTACAATTTGGCTCGAAATAATTTACTGTCCACTCAGTTCAGGGAATGGAAAGAAATCAATTCATAAGATTTCACCAAATATTTCACTATAATGCTATTACTGCAGCAATTTAATACAGTAAATTGCAACATTGCTACTTCAGGAGCAACTTTGATGCATTTACGTATTGCTACTGGCAATATATTTTACTTGCATTAGTAAATATCAGTAATACTATAAGTAAAGTAGAATGTAAAAGTACAAAGTAAAATATGAGGAGGAAACAAAGTAATATTGATAAAATAAAGTGCTTTCCTTGCAATTTAAATATCAAAGAAATTAATTCTTTAAAGAAAACATTTTTTTCTATTTGCACACATAGATACTATCACAATTACATGCAATTTATATAAGTTTTATACATTCATATGATCAACAATTATATACATAGTTTAAGAATTGCATCGTGATTGAGTAAATAGAATTTATAGAAAGAAATATTTTCTTCATATGCAAACCAAATATGCATGTTTTATGATTTACCTTTTTCTCCCATCATCATCATTTTGAGTCATTAAATTGAACTCCATGGTAAACCGCCTCAGTATAGCAAGAGACTTATGCACCGGAAAGTTTTTGAGGTCACAGTGCTTTAGATCACGAAAACCTTTTAAATATTCATTGAGACTTCAGACCTTCATAATCAATACGCACCAACTTCAGGCGGTGATAGAATTAAAATATTCATTGGGTTTCAGGCCTTTAGAATCAATACACACCAACTTCAGGCGGCGGTAGAAGCTCTTTTGCTAGAGTCTTCGTGTTGTCAATGTATTATAAAATTAATGCTAAACTACTAATATGAAACTAAGCATAAGAACAAAGAGAAGAGACAAGAGAATAGGGAGAGATAAGAGACTTGTATTGAGATGTATTTTGAAGCATGAATGAGCTCCGTATTTATACAAGAAGTAGGGGATCAAACTGTGATAAATGAATCATCTACCATTATTGCTAAATATTATATAATCATACCTCCTTGATTGTAAATAAAATAATAGATATTATAAAATATTGCTAAATATTGCTGGAGTCTTTGTGCTGGTAACGTATTATAAAATTAATGCTAAACTACTAATATGAAACTAAGCATAAGAACAAAGAGAAGAGACAAGATAATAGAGAGAGATAAGAGACTTGTATTCAGATGTATTTTGAAGCATGAATGAGCTCCCTATTTATACAAGAAGTAGATGATCAAACTGTGAGAAATGAATCATCTACCATTAATGCTAAATATTACATAATCATACCTCCTTGATTATGAATAAAATAATACATATTAAGATATTCAATCAAATCAAATCAAATATTTCATAACAAAATTAGGAAAAAATATAATTCTTACCGTCTTTATTATAAAGGTATTTTGATTTGTGCTAAGTTTGATCGTTATATTTTTTCGATTGGAAAAAAAATTTAAAACTATTTTATAATAATTGAAAGAACACAATAAATGTATATATGTATTTTTTAAGGTTTTATTTTTAATTGAAAAAGTATAATAGATGTAATTAAAAAAAAATCATAAAGCCTTATAATAAAGTCCGGGAGAAAGTAATAGGTAGCATTAAAAAGGTAATGATGATCTTCAACTACGTACATTACTGACTACTCTTCCTTAAAAAATCGTAATTATCTAATCTGCGTTGATTATCTTCTCTCTTTTTTTTTTCTTTAGTACATATCATGTGTTTAAAAGTACGATATATGATTAATCAAGATCCGGTACATTGATCATTAGTTGTACATCAACATTAAGTACAGTATTCACAAAAGTTCAGACAGCTAAGCTTAAAGTCTTAAACGACAAAGGGATAAATTTTCCTAATTTTGAGCAAATGAGAAGCGCGACCCTGAACGTAAATACTAATGAGAATAAGCCACTCCCAATATTTTGCAATCAACCTTGTCAACCTTATATATTGCAATTATTTATCAGAACAAATATCCAACCTTGATCTTCAATCATAATCTCCTTTGCCAACAATTCAATTGCTATTTCACTCTCAGGATCACCATATATGCTACTTGAATATGCATATCACAGGAAAAATAGTGTCCCAAGTCCCAACGCTAGTTTACTGAAACCATCATGGGAAGTACTTTTAATTTTCTTTTGTTTTTTGGTTGCATGCCGATTTGTAGCGCTAGTAGAAATTAGATGTAGCATGCTTGATTGATATTACTAAAGGTTTTGAACTCAACGATTAAAAAATAAGTTTTTCTAACATATTTTTGAAGCTTCTTATCCATGATCGTGATAGAGTTTTGCAATCAACTAAAAATGGTGGCAAGAAACAAAGCCAAGTCAAAGTGGACAAATAAGAAAGCTTCTTCATTTCCGTTTTTTGGAATTTGTCGGGAACTAATTAAATAATACTTCCCGTTCAAGAAATATAGACTATACTATGTTGTACTATTTGAATTTAACAAAGAGGACATCTTTATATATTTATTTAATTTTTGAATAGAAGGAGCACATAGTGTTTTTGCCCCCGGGCGAATGTCCCACCAGCGTGATTATCATTAACTACAAATACATAACATTGAAAATCAATGGAAACTACAAAGCACATTCCACAAAATTAAACTAATGTACAAATTATATTATACATCGATCCCGCTTTCCTACAAGTTTGTGATCTACCTTCCTTTTACATTAACTATCTTATCTCAGGCAAAAGCATTGCCTTTTGAAATCAGTGCTTCTTTCTTTTCTTTTTTTCTTTTGGTCGATGCTAGCCAAAGTCAAAAGTGGCTTTTGCAATTTGTAACATTCTTTTTCATTGTTTATAATTTCTTTTTGCTTGAAATTGATTGACACTTACTAGTTACTAATCATCCCTGAGTTTTTGTTCTTCCTACTTCTTAATACAGTCTAGACCAATTAATTAGTTAGTTGTGTGATTCTCCCGTTCCAAAAAAAAAAAAAAAAGGTCCGCTTTACTATTTCTTTTAGTTTAACAAAGTAAATTATTATTATTTTTTTTTTGGGATAGAAAGAAATTAATAAGAGTAATGATTGATATTCCATGCATTGATTGAGTAAGTTAGATACTTAGATCCAAGGACAAAAGAGTTGTCCAGCTTGTTAAAGAATGTCTTCCTTTCTAAACATAAAACAAAATAAAATATAAAAAAATAATACTCCCTCCGTCCCATAATTATTATCCAGTTTAACTAAAATGAAAGAAATTATTTTTGATCAAACTTAATTATACTTTTGCGTAAACTTCCGAATATACCCTGTATATGTAATTGGGAACACTAAGCCCTTATTGCGATCGACTACCCTTCCCTCAGTCCTCGGCTGCATCACCATTACACCACCACAATCAGTAGTTTCTTTTTCCATCGGTGAAATTGGAGGCATTTTTAAAAAGAAAAAATTCGCCACCCTTCTAGCCTATCTTGGAGTCTTGATTAAATTTAAAAGTTTTGGCTCCCATCAGGGCATCGGAATCAGATTAGGACATGTCACTTGTAAATAATACTTCATCACAATGAAAATTCAACTCAGAGCTTCTCCATTTTCCATCCTCAAACAAAATTCTTCATAACTTCTCCAGGTCTCCGGCTATTGCCAAAAAGCGGTCCATCAATTTTTAATGGGGCAAGTTCTGAGCCAACAAATAGCTCTCTGATCCCACCGGACCATCACCTCCTCAAAGCTATCGGCGGTCTCAGCAATTCCACGTGAAGCCGTCATCACCTCCTTAAAAACTTTCGGCTTTTGGTCTTGACATCTCGTCGTCACCGCTGCTTGAAGCCGTCGGAGATTCGTTTGGCTGCTGCTATTTTATCGTTCACCCTTACGATGTGTTGCGTTTCACATTAACTGGATAAAATGGTTTTCAGTCGATGTTTACTTTTGACCAAAGGGTAAATTTGTAAATTAATTCATAAAAAAGTCAAATTAGACAATAATTTTGGGACAAAATTTTTTTGGCAAACTAAACAATAATTATGGGACGGAGCCACGGAGGGAGTAATAATCTTTTATGCATTTTTCATTTATTTAAACTTTGCTCATCCTTCTGGAAATCTCGTTTCCATTACAATCATACCAACCAATTCTAATGACTCAGCAAGTTCTCCTTTTCCACAGGCGAAGGCCCCATGCATTATCATAGTGGAAATTACGAATCTCCTTCCACAAACTTAAACTAATGTATATGCATCCTACTTTCCCACAACTTTCTAAGACCATCTCTTATACATTACCTCGTTCTCAGCCAAAACCATTGATTTGTAATCAGTCTTCTTGTTTCTTCTGGTCTTACTTCATCCGATGCTCTCTTATCTTTCCAAAGCAATCAAGAGGTCTTGTTCTTGAAGAAGCACATAGGCAAAGAGTAATACAAAGTCAACTAAAGACAGATAAACTCATTCAGCTCTTGCCGCCTCCCATGCATGTAAGAAACTGAGTCCTTTTGTTCTAATTATTTAAGGTTCCTCGAACTTTTTACTCGTGACGTTCCACTACTTGTTGAATTATGCAATGGGTTTGACCAAGTTATTTGATCAATATTTCTTTGAGATTTTCCTTACTTGAAAACTAGCTCTTGATTGAAGTTGATCAGTGGTTTCTTATTTCAAGAAATTCATCTTTGCAACGGCACTTAATTGATTTACTTCTTTTTTTTTTCCTCGGTTGAAAGTATTTATGGGTTGTGCTTTCCTGCACGTGAGATCTTCTTCATAGTTGACTATGTCGATGGTTTGGAATTTGGAGTACTATAGATAGAACAATAAGGGCCTGTATGTTATAGCCATCTTAATCCAAAAAAAAGGAAAAAAAATTGTTTTGCTCTTAAAATTAAATCTAAACCCAACATAAATTCCATTTATACAACATTTTAAATAACACTTTACACTCTTTTCAACAAACCGAACAACAATTCCGCGATGGTGATAGAAGATGGTCAGGAAAAATACTCTCTGTTTCAATATATATGTCTCCCTAGCATTTCATTAATGTCAATGAAACATCAAAAATGTGTTTGAAATATAAAATTGTCCTTATTTATTAAACGTACAAATATAGTTTTCAAAATTCCGATCCGCATCTTAAAATCTTACGATCTTGCGATCCGCAATTAGGAAATCGATCTTGAATCTTATGAAATCCTTTTTCGTAGTGGGATCTTATGGAATCCTTCAAAATCTCAATCCAGATCGTAAGATCCTACGATCCAACGATCCTATTGATTTTGTCGATACTTATACAAGTTGTTGATTTTGTATAAAAAGAGGGAGAAATGATTAGAAAAAATATAAAAGTTAAAATTTTGAGTTAATGATACGTATGTGAGCCTAGTCTATTTCTCCTCCATAAAATCAAACAAGAATTGAACTAACAAATTGAAACTCGCAATTTCAGAATTATTATAATATTTTAAATAGTTACGATCCCACTGATCCAGAATCCGATCCGATCCTGAGACACCAAAATGATCCTGTGTGAAATCCCGATTTTGAAAACTACAACTCATCACTAACCAATACAATCTTATTTTTAAGAGTAATCTACTAAAATGGTCTTTTACATTCGCGAAAATATTTATTTTAGTCTATAACATTAATAATTCACTGGTCTAGTACATTATATTTGCGTTTTCCACCAATTTGGTCCTTCATATTTAATTTTTAATTAATTATAAAAAAATATAATATTTTTAATATTATTTTGATCAAATTTGCTTTTATATTCTTGAAAAATAAAAATTAGGCATTACCGAAAATATCCATGTTGACTTGATCCAAAAATGGTGAACTTGAGAACCCCAAAATGTAAAAGGTCAAGAAAGTAAAAATGATCAAATTAGTGAAAAACACAAATGTAATGGAGCGAATTAATAAATTATTAATGTAATAGACCAAAATAAGTATTTTGGTCAAATATAAGTAACCATTTGAGCAAATGACTCTATTTTAAATACTACTTCATCTGTCCAAAAAAATAGTTCGCATTGAGTTTTCAAATTTGTACTAAAAAATAGTACAAAACTCAAAACTAAATCGGACTATTCTTTTGGGATAGAGGTAGTTTTTCATTTATAATGCAAAGATAATATCGAAAAATAGGATTTAAAAAAATCAAAAAATAGGATAAAAGTTGCATCGATTTTACAAAACAACATATATTTTTTTAAAAAATATTAAAAACCCTAGAATGACATATATTTAGGAATAGAGGGAGCATCATTTTATTTGAAAACTAAACATTCAATAATTTAAATTTTCACTCAAACTACATTTTAAACTACATTTCAAATTTAAAACACAAGCACTATCGATACAAGCTTTTCTGACAAAGTTGCTAGATGTGCAAGACTTTGGCTTCTTGCATAACTCTCACGAACAATCTACCAACAACAATTATGAATCATGATAGATGCATGAAAATTTTTATAAGAGAGAGTGATAAGAAATAATCACATTCATTTGCTTTAACATTTCCCATATCGGCTTGGGCGATAATTTAGATACGTGACACATCATTTTTTGTAATTTTTATCGTAAATTTTCCCTGCATGTATTACTACTCTATAATTAGTTATAACACTCTTATTTGGATGTCTATTTCTTAGAATCAAAACCCACACATTAAAAAGTTTACAAGAAAATTTTAGTGGAATGAAGACGATTTCTCGTTTCACATCTACCAGAAATACTTATAGGGACAAAATTTCGATCTAGGAAAAAAAGTACAGTCTATCTTCTCTTTCATTATCATTAACCAAACAAGTTACATCAAAGAAATTACATGGCTAACGTTAAAGTGTCTTCGCCAACTTATAGGCATTTTCAATTAGTAGTCTACTTACTTTTATAATATTACTGAATGGAATAGTACTCTGGAGGTAATAAATATCTTCAACTATATTACTTCATATAGAAGGCTATATTTTCCTTTCATAGCTTTAACCAAATTGAAGTTATTAGTCTGTAGTTGACAGAATTGCAAACCCAACAGTTCAACTTCTTGTAGACCCATTAAACATGCATGCATTTGCCTAATAAGAGAGTGGTAGAGTAAAACACCTATGTTCCATATTTCATAAGTTGACTGGAGCTGGAAATCACTTCCCAGGCTTTTGTGCCTTGTTTATTTTTTGCTTTGAAGGCTCCATTAACTCTAATTTTATGGTCTTAGTTTTGCATATGTTGGATATCTCCTGCAAATGCCTTGCAAATCTCCATATTATTGTCCCTCTGCAGACTTTATTTTACGAGTTGTGTATATGCATGAAATTCTCTCAATGCACGCTGGTGGGTGTTCTTACGATTTTGGGATTTATTTTCCCACACCTCTTCATTTCTTGCTAACCAAATAGCCCACAGCTGAAAAATGACTCCTGCATGCATTTATTTTTAGGGGCTTTGGTTAGTCAATCATCCAACCATTCGCATCGACTCATCGGTATACCTTGATTGAAATCAAATCCCAATCCTGAACATCTCTATGTCATTCTAATTATACCTTACACATGATGTGTTAACGGGAATTCTTCTTCTTTGTAGCACCATTAGGGTTGGTAAAGCATTGTTTGTTGCCCGCCAAATCATCTATTGTATTTCACTTGGCAATTTTATCTCTCCGAATCTCTTCTAGGATTTCGTTGTTAGGTGTATTGTTGAGGAGGTTCTTGGAACATCATATTGAGAGTCCCTTCAGCTAGCAGCTTCATAATAACCATTTTTTATTGATATTCTCCACTTCTTTCTCTCTCCATGTCTCTGTATCTTTTTCTTTTTTTGGGTTCCACGTTTTCTGGGATACATGTTGCGAGCACATGGAAGAAAAAAATCCTAACCATTGGTTCCCTCCATCTTAATTTTTCATCTAGAAGATCCCTTACTTTAAAGTTGAGGATTTTGTGTGCCTTGAATCCAGTTTTCCCCAAATTTGATGGAGTTCTCATTAGTTACCTCCCATTTTAGAATTCCTGTCAGGAGCTCCTTATCCGAAATAATGCTTCTCCATCTCCATGAATCATTCTTCCAACATTTGGATCTTACAAAAACACTACAATTGACATATTTTGCAATAAAAGTTTATGCAAAAAGTGATTCCGGAAATTTTAGTATTCGCCATGCAAGTTTGGCGAGAAGAGTTTGATTCATTTCTTTTACTGACCTCATTCTTAATCCACCTCCAAATTTTGATCTAGGGAGGAGGTTCCAAGCACGCCAAGGAATTCATTTTCTCTCCGTCTCGTTTCAAATAAGCATTGAAATGGTAGCACCAATCTGACTAGTTATCAAGAGTGGCAACTTAAATGCACCCATCATGTAGAATAGGAGAGAACAAAGAGTGTTTTACTAAAGTTACATGCACCATCATTGAAAGAGACTTGTTATACCATGAATGTAGTTTCTCTTTTCATCTTTGGACGTTACTTCAAAAAAAAAAATGGTCTTTACCTTTACATGAAAGCCAAAGGAAGCCTGGGTATTTACCAATGAACGAGTGAATTTTTATCCTTAGCCAGAGAGATGCCATAGTCATGAAAGCTGATTTATTAGGACTGAAAAAAAATTGCCGATTTCTCAAAATTTACTACTTGAATTGAGTCTTTGGCATATTGGTTCAAAACTTCCCAAAGGCTCTGATGCTTGCCTCTGTGCATTCAAGGAAGATTATGTAGTCATCTGCATACATGAGGTGAGACCATTTCGGGGCTAAGCTTGTAACCTTGATTTCAAAATTAATAATTTCTACTTCCAACACTTTTAAAGCTAACAAGAAATGTTGTTGACATAAAATAAACAGGTACAGAGAGAAAGGACAACCTTGTCTTAACCCTTTCTTTAGTGTAAACATGTTAGAATCTCAGCCATTAAACTTAATCAAGTTACCGTGCTCTCACACTTTCAAAATAGTGCTGCGATTTTTCTTGGGAATCCAACTTTTTACAGCGCTAATTGTAAGAAAGACCAAGAAATTCTATCATATACATTACTCATGTCGAGTTTGATGGCTGCAAAACCCTTTTTACTGTTGTTCTCTACCGTATGGTTAGTTTCATGTGCAAGAAAGATGTTTTCTCTAATATAACAACTTCAGACAAAACCATTTTGATTCTTTGAGATTAATCCTCTGAGAATAGATTAAATTCGGTTGGCCAACACTTTAGCTATGATTTTGTAAATGGCCAAAAACTTGATGGTGAGCTGGGATTTCTCTTCTTTGGAATTAAAATTACATAAGTTTGATTCCACTCTTCATACCATTTTCCATGGGATTAAGATAGCCAATATAGTGTCTAACAGAGTCTGATTACTCAAACCCAAATATTTTCTATAATCCCTTTAAAATTCTATCCAGTCTTGGGGCCTCTGAAGTTGCCATGTTTTAATTGCAGCCAAATTTTCTTGGTAAAATTTCTATCAAACTCTCTTCTTTGAGGCTCTATAACACACTCTTAAATGAGATCTTGTATTTTCAGTCGTCTGCTCTAGATTTTATCATCGTTCGGATAGTAATTCTCTTCAACAAAATCACTTTGAAATGCTCAAACATTATTTCCTGGAGCTGATTTTGCTCTTGGCACCACTGAACTTAATGATTTCTTAAAGTGTTTATCCTATTGATATTTTTGTTTTGGATGCCCAATTAAAGAAGTAACTTGTGTTTTTGTCATCTAATTCCGTTTACCTTACCTCTTTCCTTCCAATAATCAGCTTGATATTCTAAAGACATTTCTACTTGTCCCTTCAAGTGTTTGGAAGTGTTGCTGAAGATGCCCTTACCTTGTTGGAGGGTGCTTAGCTTTTTCAACTACTCGTCCACAGTTCTATCTACTAGCCAAAAAGATCTCTAACTCCAGTTTGAGTGGTGACTTAGGCTTATTGTAAGCTGGTTGTAAGTTTATCACAACCATTTTTAGGTTCCCCTTGAGTTTCAACACAAAATTTTGACAATAATTCCAACATTTTCTGCTTTTGTCCAATTTCTCAAACTTGAATTTTTTTTCCGTATTTTCCTACCTTATAATCACATAGAAACAACAAATTAGGACCATAATCAGAGATGGTTATAGATAAGTTTATTGCCTTTGCTTGTGGGAAATACTCCATCCATTTAATTTTAAGATTATTATGTCAAGATCATACAATTAGTTATGTCAAGATTATTATGTCGCGATCATTATGTCAAGAATATTATGTAACGATTATTATATCAAAATTATTTTATCAAGAAACATTCATGCAAGTTCTTCCGCCAGGTTGATTATGTCAAGAGAAACTTTTTCATACTTTCACTTTAAATTTGTTAAGATAATAAAAGATTTTGATAGTTTATATTGGTATAGGAACAATTTTGCTTTATTTTTTTTTAAAAATGTTGTCGAACTGATATATTTGGTCATATTTTTGTTGAGATGAAAATCTATAGGTAAAAGTTGGTTGGAAGTCATCCAATGTGGCCAATTAAGATTTTGGCAGCTTTGTAATACGAACTTTATCTATTGTGTTGGATGGTCTTGGATATGACCATTTTTTGTTTATTAAATTTTTGTTATTATTTTTTCATTGAATTTTCTTTTTTTTTTTCTCTCTATATGCTCACTTGCACTTGCATGTGTGTGAGCTGAATATGATAATACGGTTCGAATTAAACCTCACTAAGTATAATCTTACCCTTTCCCTTCCCCATCTACAACATCTATTGAAAAAGTCTTTTGATCGCGGGCTACGTTGGCGAGAATTCAGAGAACTAGAGTTGGAGTAATAATGTAGTTGTAGCTGTTGAAATAAGCAACTAAATTTGTAAAATTCCTCCTTGTTATTTTGTTAATCTTTCATACTTTAGTTATTTATCAAATGAATAAAATTGCATTCTGTGGTGAGAATTCAGTCGTAAGTTTCTTTATTAAATTATTATAAGAACCATAGATTTTGCTTGAGTCCTTATGTAAGTTGATCAGATGTCCGATTAAACTTAAATAGGATACTGGGTTTATTTGGGGCGTTCTAGGAGCATAAATACCAATCCAAATAAAGCTGAACCAGCCATCAATGTGAAGACAACCCAATATTCAAACACCAAAACAATAACAACAACAACAACAGTAATATTTACCTAAAAACCCCGTTTTTGAAGAAGTAAAAGTCATGAAATAGTCTATCAAATCCACTATAATAATGATACATCCTAGTCCAAGCTCGTTAGGGAAACAATACACAATTTAGCAAGTACACCAAGAGTATTGGTCCTTAAACAAAATTACAAAGGCACCAGGAATTCAATGAAATAAGAAAATATAAAATACATCTGCAAATACAAAATCAAGTTATGATAATCACAACTTATAAACTGACTGTTAAAACTCATCATCGTCCATATTCTAAACTCTAACTCAAGTTAAAATGTCTTGCCGATGGCACACGATTTGGACCTCCAATCGTCATCAGATCATGAACTAGTCCCAACTAAACCCTTGCTAAAAATATCTCCAAATCTCTAACTCATTTTATCACTTTGACTGCCCATTGACATTTGAGCCAAGAGATCCCAAATAACCAATATTTATGACTATATTTATTGCAAATGATACTACCTAAATGTCCTTTGATGATTGAGTCAAAAGACTTCAAATAACAATCAATCCATGGTTGTAGCCTGTAGCAAAATTTTACCCCTTGTGCCCTTGGGAACCTTATTAATTTTCACTGCCTTGAAAAAATATATTTTTTGTGTCACATTTTCAATATAATTAATCTTAATAGTGACATTTAACAGTTGTGTTTTGGAAACAATCATAAGAAATAGTAAGGATAGTCATTTATAATCCCATGACTAATTAGAACAATTTTACACTTTGACAAGGAGCACCAATATAAATTGTATGATCAAATGTTATTTAAAACCAGATCGGCTAATGCTACCAGGTTGATGCGAATTTCCAGGAACATTATGTAAAACTCAAATTTAAATATTAACCATCACTGTGAAAACAAACTGGAATAAACATTTCATCGGGATTTTAAGTTGTTTTCTAATAAAATAGGCCTAGATTGAAACAATGAATAAACTTGAGCATACAACAATACAGTAATTTAATAAAATAAAAATACAGAAAACTATATAAGCTGAGAAATAACTTATATAGGACCCAAATTACTATGAATAAGAATGCCGCTACTACACATTCATCAACTTATATCACAACACTTGATAAAAACTACTTTTGCGAGAAACTTTGAAGGTAAACTCTCTTTCTCATAATGCATAATTCATATATATGAAGGAAAAAAACACAGTAGAAGAATTTTCAATTGGTAAATGGTAAGTGATATAGCCATTTGTCCACATAAAATTATCCATCGATTTTACGATCATGTTAGTCCATCTAGCCCTAGACACTCGGTTTTTAGAATGTTGCCTCGCCTCACTGACAATAACCAAAGAAGCAAACATCTATTCCATTAGAAAATAATACAAAACCTCATCAGACCACAAAAGGGAAAACAATTATAAGAGAGGAAAGATGTATATACATGATCTCCATACATGATCCCTTGGAGTTGAATGCTCTTTAAGATACAATAATTGAAATCATGTTCAGAAAAACTAAACTCTAAACAGAATTATATAATTGCAGATTTCAGCAAGATTCTATCTAAATACTGACCTAGCCCAAGTTTGGATATTGCACGACAACAACATTTAAGCACAAGTCTTTCTTTCGTAGCTAAATTCCTTTTTCAAACCTTGCACAGTCGTCGAGCTTTTCCTACCATTTTGTCATTGGACAGGGATGATGAGGTGATCACATAAAATTTTGACCCATCACTAGAGCTTTCAATATTTACTTCTGCAAAAGCATTGCTTTAATGACAAATGAAAAGATCAAATCAGTACATATATTATAAGTACCATCTATCTCTATTACTAATACACAATCGAACAAACTTATCTTCCAACGTTAACGGCAACCTAATTTAAAAATGTCCTTCCTCTCCCGTGTATTACTAGAAAATTGAGTAAAACAATAAAAAATGTTATGATGTCTAAATTAGCTTAAAGGGAGTGTCTAAAGGTAGAAAATCAAATCAAAACATGAAAAGATAGGAAAGTATCATGTTTAATCAAATGTCTGCAGAGCCTAATCTTTGTTTGTAAAGCATTTACCTAAATCACAAATACAAAATTGATATTCTTGAACCAATTAATTCAACTCAGATTCAAAGAATTGTGTCACTCAAATTTTTGAACCAACTAATACTATCAAATTAATGCGGTCCAACATCTGCCAAAAGGATAAACTAATATTGCAGTGTTAACATTCTAACCTTCATAGTCGAGGTTCCTCCGAGTTCTATCAATTGTGCACTGAAACGAGCTCTTGAAGATGACTGCTTTTGGTAAATCAGCATTTCATGTCTCTCCATTTGTTGAATGAAAAAAAAAATCCTAGAACAAAGTCCCAATGAAGAAATGACTATTATTAAATTAGTAATTGTTATTGTTAGCAAATACTTTATTTTTTGTAATAATATATCAAAACAACAAAAAGTAATAAGCCAGATCAATTTTATTTGCCTCCACTGGACAAAAGGCTGCCACCAAAGACATTTATTCTAAGTAGAGATAAAGATTTCACATACTAATTTTTGTGTAACACATCATGTAATACTACTAAAAGAATTGGTCATGTTTAATGTTATATAGTTTTCTGAAATTTAACTAATTACCAAAACCACCATTAGATAAATCTTAGAAATAAAGATATGCAAAAAGAATAAAATAAAATAAAGATATGCCATATACAAAAGTGTTATACGAAATGTTGTAAGAGATCTTTTGGCCTATTTATACAGTAGGCTCGAATCAATGGGAACATCGGACCTCCTTGGCCATCATTTCAATCACGTTCATATTATACGAGTGTCACTCCAATAATTTCTTTTTCAAATCTTACACCCGCAACTATAATCTTGTAAATTTGTGGTATTCCCTATTTGGTTAATGTTCTTTTTTTGCTTATCGCAATTTTGCAGCTACTATGGATTGATTGACAAATTCCTTGGGATCTTCTGATCGTGGAAAGCATGATATGAGTATCAACAGATCTCGCCTTAAAACAATTGCTTCAAAGAATGTCTAATCATGGTAAGGGTGTAAAGATTCTGGATGATCTGATAGATGAAATTGATCATAATGAAGAGGACAATTGGATGGATACCAATGGTCAAGAATTTTCGAACTATTTGTGTGGGAAGACATTTGAGAATTCCTTGGGTGTTGTAAATTCTATGGAAGGAACTAGCAAGTTAATTGGCGGTGTTGGTTATAGTAGTAATTTGGAGGAAGAAAAACATGGACAGAGGTATGTACCGCAAGTGGATGCTGAAGAGGATGGAACCGAACCGACTTCATCAAGTAAGTTTAGTGTTTGGACATGTCATTCCTTGTAATGGATGGACATTCAAGTTTATTGTTTTATGAATTCATTTTTTCACTGTGATATGACCTTGATAAACTAAAGTTTGATAGACATAAATTTTCTGTTACGTCTTTATGGATTAATGGATCTCCTGTTCTTCTTATTTTACTTTAACTTGTAAGATTATGGTATGTGATGTTGCTCCGTATGTGTATGAAAGTCTTAAATTAGTGTTTTCTTTGTTTTTCTTTCGGGTGCTTCTTAGTTACAAGGTCTTTTTTCCCTTTCTTTTTCAAAGTTTTGTGTTGTTACTAAGTACATTAATTTTCTTTTACTTGGTTTTCAGTAAGGAGCATGTTGACAATAGGTTCCTGGGAAGTCATTCGGAGAAATAGCATGGAGAATTGTGTTGAGACTGCCTTGAGTGTTGTGAATAAAATAGCCTCCCAACTACGGGAATCGTCTCAATTTCAAGATGTTAAAGATGATTTATTGTTGTTGCAAGTGGAGTTGAGACTATTGAACACATTTTATATGTGTGGAAGGTTGTGGGGAAGAGATGTGGAGTGTGACTATATCTTGCGTCAGCACATTGAGGAGATTCTTCAACAAGATACATGTCTCACATTGAGGGCCTACAATCATTTGATAGAAATAGATCTTCTCCACAAGGTGATTTTTGAATTCCGTGTATGCATTCAGCAGGTGTCATTGAGACAAGAAGTAGAGAAAATGTACCAAATTCTCTCGAATGACTCGACCCATCTTTGCTCTTGTTTTGAAGAGGAAATTGATCCACTAATGGGAATCATTGATCTCTTTCTGGATACCATTCACAGTCTTGTTCAAAACATCAATGATCTAGATGATTTTCCACTCCCTTTCACCACCTTCGGAAGTAGCTTTACATCTCAAATGTCTACGGCTAATGTGTTTGATAATCTCGAAGATGCAACCAAGAAAGTTGCAATATTCTCTCATTTTTTACGTCAAAATACATATTCTCCAGAAGAAGTAGTAAACCTTGGCCTTACGCTCTGCTCTCTCACGATTCAAGATGGTGCTTCTCCTTTAGGATGGTCTAACACCATAATGGATATAGGTGTTAAAGAATTGGCAATGTTCTGGGGGCACTTGATTCTTTTTGCCATATGTCGAGGGCTTGGTTTCAGGCATATTGAATCTTTATTGACACACATTCGAGGCTTCATTTTGGATGTTTCACGTCACATTTTCATGTATTTTCATGACCAAAATCCTCAGCATGTTGCTCAAATTATTCAAAGAACCCAGCCACTTGAACCCCGAGCATGCGAGATTTATGTTGGAGTCCTACAAGCTTCAAAGTTATCACTTCCAAACAAACATCTAGCTCTAGCAACCACTCATGGTCCAGATGCATCCTGGCGCATTGTTTTTCCTCTTCTCAATCTTCTGTGGAGACTATTAAATGGCACCAATTGTTTGTTGGACATTTTCCAACATCATATGCAGAAAATCTATGTGGGGCTTACATTCATAAAAGTAATCATCACAACGGAGTACCCAGATCAGTTTTATGAAAAAATGCATGCCCTAATTGGGCATGTGATTTGTGAGGCAGGAATTATTATAATCCACCTTTGTGGAAGAGGGCAGTGGAGATCAGTGAAAAAGATGGAGTCCTTATTTTTGAATTTAGAGAAGAAGCTTAACAAGCTTTTTGAGGCAGCGAAAGAAGAAGACACACAGAAATTACAATTACCACTAGCACCTAACTTTCCAAATTTTATTGATTCTCTCTTGGAAAAGATAAAGTCAATCAATACAGATGATGGTGATTCAACAATTTATTTGGCACATGATGAGCTTCAAACTCTCCATGAAGATCTTACATTTTTAAGATCTACTATGATTGTGTTGCCTTCCATACAAATTGAGAGGTCCATAGCTCTACAAACTCACATCGCTGTTGTTGCCTATGAGTTAGAATCTTTCATCGATTCTTTTATGGTTAGAGATGACTGTCGAAATTATACTGAGAGGCTTAATAGCATCATAGTAGAAATCAAGCTTATTATTGCTGAAGCCGATGGAATTTTTGAAGAGGTCCCAGAAACAGTTGCGATCAAGTCCTTGAAAACTTTTCAAAGCCAGCAAATCAATGGGGTTGCTGAAACTTCCCGTAAGATGCCATCAGCAGGAGAGATCTCAACATGGAACGATGTTATGGTGGGCTTGGACGATGAAGTAGCAAAGATAACTGATCAGCTTACAAGAGGAACGAAAGAGTTGGACATTGTTTCGATTGTGGGCATGCCTGGATTAGGCAAGACAACATTGGCCAAAAGAATTCATAGGGAACTCTCTGAAACACGTTACTTTCATGTTCATTCCTGGTGTACTTTGTCTCAGGTTTATAACAAGAGAAGTTTGTTACTTCAGATTTTAAGTGGACTTGGTATTGATGTTGATGAACTGAATTCAAAAAAGGATGATGATGATTTGGCTCTTGAGCTCCGCAGACGTTTGAGTGGAAATAAGTATCTCATCATCTTGGATGATGTTTGGGATACTGAAGCATGGAAAGATTTGATGGGTTCATTTCCAAACAATGTTAATGGCAGCAGGATCCTATTAACAAGTCGGCATCGTAATGTGGCTTTGGCAATCAAACAAGATAGAGAGCCTCACAATCTTCGTTTTCTCAATAGTCAAGAAAGCTGGGAACTCCTGAGTAAGAAGGTATTTTTCGAAGAAGAATGTCCTCAAGAACTACTTAAGCTTGGGGAGGCAATAGCACATAATTGCAACGGGTTGCCATTAGTGATTGTAATTGTGGCTGGAGTTCTTCTTTCAAAACTGGAGCTAGATGCTTGGGAGAAAGTTAGGCAAAGTGTAAAAACAGGTACTCTATCTCTTGTTGAGAAATGCATGCAGACTATAGAGTTGAGTTATTCTCATTTACCACAGTATTTAAAGCCATGCTTTCTTTACTTCGTAAGATTTCAAAGAAACCAGAACGTTCCTGCTTCGGAACTAATAAGGTTGTTGATGGCTGAAGGATTCATGGAAAGAAATGGAAAAGACGGCTCAAAAGTTGTTTTGGAGGGGTACATGAGGGAGTTACTTCAGAGGAATTTAATTATGGTGGGTAAGAAAGGATCTAGAGGTACTGCCAAATCTTATGTTCTTCATGACTTACTGTATGAATTCTGTGTGGCAAAATGCAATGAAGAACATTTTTTGCATCACAGACACGAGTATGAGCTTGGTAATTCTATTGATCCAAGCATATTGTATCGAGTGTGTCTTCACCCGAGGATAGACGGAGAAATTGTGAATGTCAAGATGAATTATCCTCGTTTACGTACTCTCTTCTTTGTTGCTGATCAGAATCCTTGTAACAGCATGGGCGGTCACTGTTTACAAAAAGTTCCTGAACAACTGAAGTGGTTAATGAATTTTATCGTACCTGATCCCGTCTCATGGACTCCTCAATGTTGGTATGAGTGTGTTTGCAAATTGAAGCAGTCCAAACGTTTAAGAATTTTGGACCTAAGTGCATTCTATATCGGAACGTTGTTTCCTGTGGTAATAGAGTCGCTTGTTCACCTGAGGTACTTGGCCTTGAGGATTGAAAGTTCAGATCTTGAAGTCCCATCATTTATTGCAAGCCTCCCAAATTTAGAGACTTTTATTGTTCATGGTGACGGACAAGTTCGGCTGCCTGATACTCTGTGGAACATGAAAAATCTAAAACATCTATGCTTAAGGGGTCGTTATGCCTATTGGGTGTTGCCAAACAGTAATCCAGGGGATTGCTCTAGTTTAGAGAATCTAGAAACTCTTTCCACAATAAGAGTTTCTTGTGAACAAACCACGATGCAAGTAATGCGCAAATTTCCCAATGTCCGAAGACTTAAATGCTGGATCGACATGGGAACAAGAGATGCGGAGTGCCCGATTCTAGCATTAGATTTTTTGAGTCAGCTTGAATCACTCACCATAACTCATAGAAAGGGATCGGGTGACATTAGCTTTGAGTTTCCTCGCAATCTAAAGAAGCTCTCTCTGTCAGGGTTGCACATGCCTTGGAGTGAAATTTCAGCAATTGATAAGTTACCAAATTTGGAGGTTCTCAAATTACAGGAGGATTCATTTTCAGGTGAAAGCTGGTACATGGAAGAAGAGACATTCCCCAGGCTCAAATATCTAAAATTAGCAGGTTTAGATTTAGCTTGGTGGACAGACTCAGAAGATAGTTTGCCTTGTCTCCAGAATTTGGAGCTAGAAAGATGCCATCACTTGGAGGCATTACCTACCTGCTTAGCTGACAGTTCGACGCTTCAGACAATTGAAGTAATTGATTGCAAGCATGTTGTTGTTGCAGTGGAGGAAATTTTAGAACAGCAAATGGATTGGGGAAATGAGAGTATGATCAGCAATATACAAATATCACCCCCGAGTAAGCTCTTCCAACTTTATCATGCTCAAGATTTATTACATGGCTCATTTTTCGAACATAGATTAGACTAATCTTTCAAGATAAATCCCAAAATCTATCATGTTAAATCATTGTGAAAATCAGCTTATATCTCTTGCTTCATCAAGTTTTGCTGCATGTAGGGGAACCATCCTGATTTTTCTCTTCATCAAAAGATATACAAAAGTTAATAAACTCATCACCATTTCACTTTATTGAATTACAAAAAAATTCAACAAAATGAATTATTTTTCTATTATTTCCTCTGTTCTGAAAAAAAATAGTCCGCTTTTATGTATTGTAGTGTCTTAGTTCAACGAAGAGAACTATTTTTCCAATACAAAAAATAATATTAAATCAATATGTCTCCATCTAAAAGCCAAAACAAATTTTTTACTTTATTATTTTTACTTTCTTTTTTGCTAAACGACTAAATTGGCTGATCGTCTATAAACCTTAAGTATTTGCATACAATAACATGCTGGTCTGTCACTAAATTTATTTTGTATCTTCGGAACATGCTTCCTTTACAGTTGATAGGCAATTCTTTGAGATGGGTGAGAAGCTAGGAGCAAGGATGTTCAACTCTTATCCGGAGCTGGCGTTCAACATGGACTCGGAGCTGCAGATATTTCGTTGGCGAATACGGTGGGAATGAATCCAGACATGGAGCCAACAGTGTAGTAAATGAAATAATAAAACTATCTGACTCGAGTTCGAATTAGTCAAAACAATGATCTTGGTTGTTAGTTGTGTAATATATAAAAAAATAAAAAGAAACAAAATAGATAAATTCCCATGTTTGAACCATCGACCACAGTTAATATTATTGTGTTATTGTTTTTTACTCTTGGTCCTGTAGCCGCGCTGCGTCAACTGACAGTTGTTGCGGAATTAATATTATACAAAGTGGTTGTAACCATCATCATCATCTTTGTGACCTTCCTCCTGTCCGATCAATTTAGTTGGGACTGCTAAAAGTTATGGTGACTGCAAGTTTTGTGTATTCAAGTATTTTTTCTATCCTAAAATAATTGTCCAAATCATATTTTTGTTTTTAGTACGTACAGTTTGAACTAAAAATAAAAATTCAATGATTGGGGGAAGAGGGAGTACTTCTCTTTTTCCCTCTTTGTCCTACAAGTATTTGTATTTTTACTTGGGGGGGGGTTATGCAAACATTTTCTCCGGCACATGCATTTAGTATTTTTTTTTTTTTTTGGATTTTGTAAATGAAGTAGGATTTAACAAGTGATTTTATGCAGAAGAAGGTTGCGTGAATCTATCAGTGGATGATAGCATGGAAAGAGACAATCTCGTATGAATGCTTACGATGATCAATGTTAATGGAGGGAGGGGCATCTTTCTAATATAGCGTTAAAGACAATTGCTTATATTGTGTTTGGGATGGCATGTAGGGTTTTGGTGGGAAGCAATTTCAAGAAAGTCCCTATCTATTTTAAGAAAGTCCCTATCTATTTTTATAAATTTGTGTCGCAAAAAAAAAAAAAAATTGTTTGTTTAGGAACCTTGTCGCATTTTAAATAATGTGTTAGGATTAGGAGTTAAAGAGAGGCCAGATTTTCTTGTAAAATATAATTAATGAATGGAAACACAAGTCATGGCTGAAACGTAATGAACAGACGTTTGAGCATATAGATGAGGAGAATTATCGGTTGGATGAAAAGTAATTTGAAAGTAACAAAATAATATGTTATTTTTTTTATTTGTTATTTTCTTGAAATGGGTCATGATAATCTTCAACCTACCACACATTCATCTTGAAGTATTGTTTTGAAAAAGATAGTGTCACCGACACGCTTACACTCCTCTCCACTGTCACTAATTGAAACCAAATTCTTGCCACAAAGCCTACATTTGCAGGTATAATTTGTGATGTACATCACAAAAATGCAGGTCATTACCCACGGCATAGTGGGTTGCGGGTAATCGTGGGTCACGCATTATCCACGATTTACCCACGAAGCGTTGACCAAAGTCTAGGCCCTCAAAAAAATAAATTTACCCACGACATATCCACGAATTACCCACGAAAATATCTACGGCAAAAATTTGCGTAAGTAATTCGTGGGTAATTTATTCCCGCAAACAATTTTCCCACGATTTACACACGAGATAGGTTGTGTGTAATTACACACAATATTTTTTCGTGGGAAAGTGGTGGATATTTATTTCCTGCCAATACGATTCACACGTATTACCCCCGAGAATTTTTGTGGGTAATTACACACAGAACATTTCGTGGGTAAGTTGTGGGTAAAATTTACATTACCCACGATTTTGATTGTGGGTAAAAAAAATGACGTGGGTATATTCTTATTTGTCGTGAGTAAAAGGCAATTACAAATTTTAACACACTTTTTTTTGTGGTTTGATCATGTTGAGTTTTTTTTTATAAAAAAAATAATACGTTTAAAATAATTTTTGTTTGTGATTGTGTGATCATCTATTATTGTTGAGAAGTATGTATGATAGCGATATATATATATATATATATATATATATATATGATATAAACATTTGTTACTTATAATTATAACTTATATATATATATATATATGATCATATCAATCGATATTGATTGATATATATGTGTGTGTACATGCATGTAAACTAATATTTTTCATATTTAACAAAAGTTTCACAATTATATATAGTGAAACCATATGTAAGAGAAATTAGCAAAATATAAGAAAAGTTAAACTTGAAATAGAAAAATTATTTATTAAAGGGTGTAAAGGAAAATACTTACATTGGCACATGGTTCAAATACAAAAAAAAAAATTATTTAAGGGTGCCACTTTGTAAATCTAAGAGTGTCTCTTTTGTAATTTAACATGGATTTTGTTAGAATTTAGCCATTTATCGTGTCAGAACATGAAAGTAAAACTAACACAATTCATTTAATCAACTATCTTAAAGAAAACCAAAAAAAAAATAAAAATTGAAGACCTACTTTTGCCAAAATTTAAAATACTGGGCTAGAAACATCAAAATAGCCAATTCTTTCAACCTATAATAATTACTAGGGGGCAGGAGACCGCACGTGTGCGGTCGTTGTACAGTAGAGACCCTTCATGATTTTGTTGTAACAAAAATATAATTTGAAATCAAAAAATTTTATTTATATAACAGTCCAAATATTTGTACAATAATTTACATAATTATACATACAAGCTAAGTGATTAAATTTGTAGTTCAGCTTTGATTGTACCGGTGCGCTCAAGTAAAAGAAAAAGACTCCACTCCATGTTAAGTGCTGCTTTGAGAATATATTTCCATACAGGATGAGATATAAGTCTTTTCAGTTGTTCATCTACTTCTCTTTCGAACATCGAATTATAAGTACACTGGCCACAGTGAATACAAGTACAAGGATTAGAATTATTCATTTATTTTCTGTTAATATTGAAAGATTAAAGAAAGATTTAGATATTTGGACTGTAAGGAAGAAATCAGCAAATTTTTAAAGAAATGTTTTGAAAGTGAAAGACAAAGTAAATGAAGAGAGGAAAGAAATAGGAGAGTTTGAAAGATAAGTTTTTGAAGTGAATGAAGACTTTAAAAGTAACCTGTAATTTATAGGGGAGATGGAAAGATGTCGGGAAGAAAGATGTGCAAAAAAAAAAAAAAAAACAATTTATGCGATGGAAAGAAAACATTTGTTGGCAAGTAAAGGTAGGAAAATGCCAAAGAATTTGTTGGTGAATGGAGATTATGTCACGTAATTGAGAGGAGGAATGAATAGGTAGACAAATGTCTTATTCATTATATAGGAGTGTTGTACTGAAAGCTGTTTTACATGCAGAGTAACATTTGCATGTTCTTGGTTGGCATATATTGTTTAGCATTTTCTTGTGCTAACCTAAAACTCTGGCCAGGATGCAAACAACAGATATTTCCATTTTATGAATGCATCAATTATATGTCTTTCCTTAATTGGCGACCAGTTATTGCTACAGCCAAGTGTATGCAGAAAAGAAGATTAAAGATATTTTGGTGAAATGATGAAGTCTATTCAAGATTAACTAAGAAGCTTCTCAGAATATAAAAACCTTTGACATCATGCTTTTTGGAACTCTGGTAACAACGTACATTCTTTTGTATACACCATCAAACTTATGAGCTATAACATCCAACCTACATTATCCACGGAAATTATAAGACAAATGACACGTCACATAGACAAATCTAGAGAGAAATGCAGTAAACTAAAGTGTAAATTTCACAATATTATCCACAAGATTGAACATTATGAAACTTATTTCGTAAATGCAGAGAAAGTTTTGATTGAGATGTTAACCTAGTCTCTCAGAAGAGATACTCTATTTGCAAGCATGACTTTTCTATGCAATGATTTGGAAGATTAAATTTTATTTACAAATACAATTCCAGACACTTCAATTTGAAGGAGTAACACCCATAAAACCTAGTGCTAATTTGGTCCATTATCCAATGACAACCTAACAATCTCTTTTTAACACCATGTAACAACCGGAGACTCAGAGAAAGATTATAAGTACAATCCTTAAACACCACTTAAGCACCATTTGAAGGTCAGATTTTGATCCAAATTCAAAACCAAAATATAGATACATCAATGTCGTCAATCGAAAATGAACCAGATGCCAAAAACTGTAAAACGAATGAACAGAACACAACCTGTTTTGAAATCTGCAGTATTGATCTCACAGCAAAGTTTTGCAAATTCTAAAAGATGCAGTAGAATTACACAGTATGCAAGAAGATTAAAACAAAAGAAAGAAAGAAGAACAGTTGAAGGCGAAAACATAACCAAAATAAAGATCTCAAAAACAAATTTACATTAAGAACTTATGTAGGCATAAAATCAAGCATCTACTATGCAATGAATAGATATCCTGCAATCGTTAAGTGCGTAAAGCAACAAACAAAGTCAACAATAAAGAAATTGCATTGGTATCTTAAATTAAAAAAAATGAAAACATGATGTCAAAGATTTTACTTACTTATTAATTATCAGATATCAGCAAAATTTTTAGCGATGCAATGATTTTTCCCAATTATATCAAACAGTTGCAGCCCCTTGAAAATCAAACAACTGCAGCAAGTGAAATAACAACATAAAAGGTACTACCTCATGAGAAGCATATGTTTTTTCAATCAACATTTCACTTTCTTCAGTTTACCAAGTAAAAAGATTAACCAGGCACTTGCAGAGACCGTTTATAATGATACATTGATTTATTTTATCCTCTTAACTGGATCTTTTTGACAAGTATATAACATAGAAGAGCAAACACATTTAACTTTCATGCCTGCAGCTTAAACAGAACGTATTTTCACAAAACATTTCAGACACAAACTTACCCAAATAGATGTGATTCTGTATGAAGGAAGATACTAATATTTGAAAAGTAAACTCAAGCGAAATCTTGCATACACCTATTTATCCAAATCACAACACTAAGGTAGACCTGTTTGTCCAAATTACAACAACAAGCTAGGTTATTACATATCTTTTACGCAAACATGAGTTTGCAAGCATCAATATTATCTGTTTGTTTGTGATGCTTTGCTGTGTTTGCCAAAAGATTGAAGTTATAGAAGTGACAATGGCTTCACTTATGCAATTACTAAACAAAATGCAATGTGTACTATTAGTCAAAGCCTATATACAACAAAAATTTGAAGGATGGAAGGTAGAGAATTTTGCACATACTGTCACTAACCAGATTGGGCACGTGTTGGCCAGTTATTCTTGCTTTAGATGTTTTGTGTGTGATGGTTTAGGAGCTGGTTGAAGTGTTCTCTTTGTTGAAGTAGCTTTTGCTTCTATTTGCTTTGATGTGGTTGCTTCTTCTTCTTCAGACATTGCTGTGTCTGTTGGTACTAGACTGTCTGCACTGGATGTAGTACTCTCCTTTTCAGAATGTGGTGCATTGGAGCTTGATTGGGATATTGGTAAGGAGGTAATGACAGTATATCGGATATGGATAGATGTCTTTGTTTTCTTGCTGCTTCGGAGATGGAAGAAGCGTTGTTCATTTCGAAGTTTTTGATTTAGGTCAGCAATGTCCAACTTGTTTTCTTGTCATTGAG